TCGGGTGAGAAAGGCGACATCTCACTTATTCTGATCCGCGGGTCTGCACTTTGTGTTTACATCTTTGTGCAGAAGCCGTGTACCTGCTCTCATTTACTGTTTTAAATGTTTGGTGGTTGTCAAAAATTTGTGACGTTTCACCTGAGATTCTGGAATATTGGGCAAAATACATTTATATAAAAAAATCGATTCAGGATTTTAATGAATCAATATCACGTTATCCAAGCCAGAATCGATTTTAATCGATGAATTGATTATTAAAACCCACCCCTAGTGCTTACCTTTGGTGCTGACAATCTTAGAAGTGAGCTCCAAAGTCTCTATGTCCTCAGATCCAATGTTCTCTAAGGTGATGGTCAACTGCTGCGTCTCTCCGTTGAACAGCTGGACAGACACGGAGCTAGACAGCTCTTCTTTGGACATGGGGTGAGGTGTGTAGGCTGACCTGTAGGTAGGTTCAGAGAAACACATGGCTATTATAAGTAATCACAGATTAGGTGAATAGCCTTGAAATACAATCATATATGCATCATGTGGTATGTAGAAGTCTTGAGCCACCCCCCATTTTATTCAAAAGAGAGTTTAAGGTGCTGCTTCTCAGGATAGATGAAGGTATGTGTGTCTCCTCATATATTATGTTAGCCTAGCAGCTAGCCACGACATAGATAATTATTTCAACTAGTCCTCTTTCACTAAGCTTTCAAACACTGCTGCTATTTAGCTTTACATCTTAATTTACAACCAAAGTTAAAGCAGTGCTCTATCTTGCTGGAAATGGTATATGATCTTTAGATGTCAAATTAACTAGCTAACTTACAGCCAACATCTGACCTTTCTAAACCTCATAAATCTTCATTTTCATGGAAGCCTGAACTTTAAACTTTATTGTAGCATGTCTGAGAACAACCACACCAATCATTTTATTGAAGCTGTAAGATTAACTTGGACCCTTTTCAGTGATGCTTCAGCATTCATTTGCACTGAATGAGCATCCATCCATTCTCTTCTGCTTATCCAATTCAGGGTCACGGGGGGGCTGGAGCCTATTCCAGCTGCCTTAGGGCAGGAGGGGTACACCCTGGCTAACACAGGGACAGACGGCTATTTGCAGTCGCATTCATACCTGTGGGCAATTTAGAATTATCACCTAACCCCACTAAATACATGTCTGTAGTGGGAGGAGGCCAAAGCACCTGGGGAGAACATGCAAACCCCACACAGAAAGACCCTGGGGCCAGATGGTGGGAATTGAACTCGGGCGTTTTTTGCGGGCACCACCCTTACCCCCTTCTTGCCCCTTTTGGCTTGGGAATTTTTTTTTTAATGACATGGGGCATGCCAGCAAAAGATTCAGTCTCCAAACTAGAATTTCAATGTTCTAAAATATTAAAACTGCAAATTTTGAGTTAATGTTTAGAATTCAAATGGTATAAATGTGAAAAGTGGAGCCTTAGATACTGTCGTTTAGTGCTGTAGGCAAAAAAAAGTCTGTGAGGCATCCTGTAGAGACTCTCTGAGCTGAGAAGTCAAAACTGAAGGTCTACCTGTGCATCCTGTGAGAACACCACACACTAGAGCCAAATATTACACTTCTGTTCGAGTAGACACGTGAACTATATTCCAGCATTAGAGAATAAAAAGATTTTCCACATTAAAAGCTGATGAGTGCTGTACTTACACAGGCATGACCTAAATAGTGAATTTTAAAGCAGCTTTCCTGTCAGAATGATTTACAAAAGTCCAGACGGCGTGCATTACCTGCTATTTACTGGTAGAAATCTTACCACATGACTTCTACTTTCATTTCTCAAATAACACACAATCTTGGGCTATAATGTGGTTCATGACCTGGGTTTAAAATAAGCTTTACACTGTTGATTTCTTGGAAGTGTTTCTGTTCTCACCACAGGATCCCAATATGCTTGCTATGATATAACTTTGGTTTGTAATTGGTGTGACTTTAAGACCACTCAGCCACAAAGCCATCCCTTTTTCATAGCTATATTTGAACACAAACATTTTATGAAATACTAACACAGGCAACTTTTACATAATGGTGTAAACCTGAAACCTGCACATGCACTCAAGGGCAAACTGCATCACGTTGGCCAAAAACACACTACTCAAAATGTTAACTTTACTTACTTTTGGGCGTAAAAACTATGAGTAGAGAGCAGTCTGTGAGTGGTACAACAGTCGCACATTTGTCATTGTTTTGGCTCTGTACCTCAGCACAATGGATGTGCAATGAAACAATGACTATAAAGCTAAAGTGCTGACTTTAAGCTTTAAAGGTGTTTGAGGGTGTTCACATCAATCATGGGTGAACAAAGCAAGACTCTTTGCCCTTCCTATGTTTTTATGGGGAAATGTTCTTGTCTGTTGACGCAGTCTAACACTTCAATTTACTTTACTAAAGATAAAAATGAGGCCAAAAGGCCAACGCTAGTAGAGAAACCACAAAGCATAACATGATTTTCAGTGGTTAAATAATTTACGTAGTTATGAAATACTTTAGCCTTTTGCTGTGGGCATCAAAATGTTGTATTAAATATATGTAACCCAGTCTAGCTAATTTGGCTGCCAGCTAATGTAATTAGTGTTGAGGTGTTATCTTTGTTAAACAGGTGTTGTGAACCACATATAAACCTTTCGTCACCCAATTTGGCAAAGCAAGGCTTACACAGTGTTTACCCCTGGCCTACTGAGACCTGTGACATTATCAGCATAGCAACACAGTCAGATCTTTTCTACACTGACTGTTAGTGAACAATTAGTGTCATAGCAAAGACGGCGTGCAGAGAGTTCCTGACCGTGGCAGTGACGTCTGGAGCTGGAGGCGAGGAAGAGCGGGAATGACCTCCACTAAACAGCCGCTAGTCTTCACACCAGGCAGGCCATCCAGCAGGCAATCACTGGTTACACCAAACACTGACGTGTGGTAACCTGGGTTCAAATAGAAAATAGAATCTTTAATGGATGAAATTACTGGAGTGGAATGGTGAACCACTGACCTTTAAAAAGGAGTCTGACTCAAAAGTGTGTGCAAAAACACAAGCTAATCTTTCCAGCTAATTATTATGTGCAACAATCCAAGTAATGAAAAAATCTTTTCAGCCGCACTGACCGTTGACAGTAATGTTCCCGGCTGTACGTGGGACGCCAACCAGAGTAACAGGGTACAGGCCAGACTCAGCAGGCAGAGACAGCGCTGCAGGCAGAGATTCAAATTCTACTCCAGAGGTCAGCAAACCCTGAATGCAACACACAAAAGGAGTAGGAATGACCAGGATGTAATGCAGAAATCACACCGTGCCAAAACCAAGGAAAACTGACTGCAAAACCAGTCTCTCATCTTTTGGCCCAACACGGTTCCTCATTTGTTTTCCTTTTGAAAAAGCAGAGTGAGGTGCAGCAGATCAATTTTCCAACACCAATTCAGTGTGAAGTATCTCTCAAAAGATTTTAAATGATCCATCACCCTAATCTATCCACGATGTCCTGAAGATTAAATTTCTGGCGGTATGAGATGGCCATTTCCATGGAAGAAAATCATTCTCTGCGGGAAATGACCATTTGAGCCACGTATGCCTGAGAGGTGAATGAAAATAAGTCCTACTGATGACAACACAGAAGGAAGGGGGATCAAAAAGGTTTCGAATTCAGCTGGCCAAATCCCCACCGGATATTATAGAGAGCAGCAAATTCTGTTCAAGTGTTTTTTATGCATTACAAAATCTTGCACTGGCCGTCCAAAGGGTAACTTTGAACCGTTAAATCAAAGTGTCTGAACTAAATTGAAATCAACTGTAAAATGTTGGTGATGTGAAGAACATCTCAGATAATATTTCTGGTTTATTACACCTACAGCTAAGCCATAGATATCAAAATGATTATTTTGAAGTGTGACAGGTCAAAAAATAAATTATGATAAATTGCTGAAGGTAAGGTTAACATTAAGACCTTATAAAAGGTGAAAATCTTGTAGAAATTAATTGGGTCTTATATGTGAAAGAAAGCAATTGAAAAGTCCCAAAAAGACCATATTAAAAAAATTGAAAATCTCTCTCACAAAACATCTCACTACTTTTAAAATTAGATCAATTCTGATGCTGAGAAACCACTTCATGAATTCATCACTTCTAAACTGGTCTATTGTAATTCATTATGAGGCTGTTCTAAATTTCTCTAAGACTTCAGTTCATCCACTCACTACAGTGGGAGTACCATCAAGGACTAGGAAGAGAGGCCATATTTTTCCCACATTAGCTTCTCTCCACTGACCCAATTAAATCCAAAACTGAGTTTAAAATCCTTCTCCTCACATTCAAAGTCTTCAAAAACATCAGGCTCAATCAAATCTTAAAGACTTTCTAAGTATAGTATTCATATTGTCCAAAAACGCATATCACTTTCAGGCTGCAGGCTTACTTCTGGGTCCTAGAGGACAAGAAAGAAACAGTGGTGAACCAGTGACAGGGTCACTGATGCACAGCGAAGGCTGATTGATCTCAGTGATCCAATCTAACTGATGAGCTGCTGTAGCTGAAACTGCTGAAAAAGTTTGTTGACTCTGATAGAAAGGAGTCGGAATACACAGAGCATCAGAGTTTGTTGCACAGCTGCAGACCGGTCAGGGTGCCCATGCTGATCTCGATCCACCACCCGTACTGCCACGTACCATCTACCCAAGTATTGTTGCAGACCGTTTACACCCTTTCATGGAAACAGTGTTTCCTGATGACAGTGGTGTGTTTTTAGCAGGATAATGCGCCCTACCACAAAACAAAAACTGTTCATGAATCATCTGAGGAGCACAACAATGGGTTTAGGCGTTGATCTCTAAATTCCCTGTGTCTCATTCCAATCCAGAATCTGTGGGATGTGCTGGACAAACAAGTCCTCTCCATGGTGCCCCCATCTCATAACTTGCAGGACTTAAAGGATCTAAAGTTAATATCTTGGTGTCAGATACCACATTACACCTTCAGCACTGCTTCAGGAGTCTAGCAGAGTCCTCAACAGGTCAGGGCTGTTTAGGCAGCAAAAAAGGGACCAATACAATGTTAGTCAGGTCGTCATAATATTATACCTGATCAGTGTATATGCTGCAGCATATCATTAGTGTTTTGTTCTGTCTCCTTATGCTCTCGTTGGTTGTTTTCTCTTTCCCCAAACCCCGAACCTCTCACAACAAATGCATCTCTCTGAGCCTGGTTCTGCTAGAGAATTATTCCTATGAAGGGGAGTTTTTCCTGCCCACCATCGCAAAGTGTTTGCACAAAGTGGCTCCACTGATTGTTGGTTTTTCTCCCCTATACTGCAGGGTCTTTACCTTAAAATATAAAGCACCTTTATGCAGCTGTTATTGTGATTTCTTGCTATATTGTTGACCTGAAATGAACTGAAATGACTTGGAAAAACACTAAAAACGAGTCCTCACTCAACATTGTAGTCCATAGTGACATCTAGCACCAGGTACTAAATGTAATTGCACTAGAAAAAGAATACATGTATCATGGAACATCAATTAAATCAGGCTAGATACTAAAATCCTTATTTGAGAGATTCAGTGAAAAACCTACTACACACTTACTGCCACAGTGAAGACAGTAACTTCAGGACAGACATTGATCTAAGCAATAAGAAGAATGTGGGGAATTAGACTAATCGCTAATGGGGGGGGGGGGGGGGTTAAGCCCCTTAAGCCTTAGCACACAACTACAACTGTGAATAACAAATGTTAGCTACTTGAATGTTATTAGCCGAGGTAATTCATCAGCACTGTTGCTGTGTGAATGCAGTTAGGGGCAACATCTCCAAAAGTTGATTTTGTTGATCTGGACGAAGCGTTTTCAGTGGGAGAAACATTTCGTGACTTCTTTGATTTGGAGCAACACACTTTTTGGATTATACCGTCAGCTGATACAAAGGTCATCTAAATGACTGTGATGAATGGCTATGGATAATTGTTGGATTCTGACCCCTTACCAGTCTGCACCGCATACTGGACATCCAGCTGAACACTTCTGTTTGAGCTCCGCTTCCACAAGGACAGATACAGAAACGTTTTTCCACCTCGAGACTTTTTATAACATTTTGTAAAACCTTCCAAGGTATTTTGTTTTGTGATATTTTATTTATTCTACTGCATTAAGATGTTTTCCAAGTTTTGGCTGGTGTAACACAGTAATATGCCAACGTTTAGGATAAGTTCTTATCTCATTTGGTAACACTATGAAGTTATGGATCTGTGACTCAAATTTCTTTGATCAAATGTCTCGATGGCGACATACCCCATCAATACTGCTGTCAGGATTAGAAGATTATTCTGTCTTTATCCTTTATGCATTGGAAAACATGTCTGATCTGAATTAGTTTATGTTGTTTTCTTGAAAACAAAGAAAATCCTTTCAAATTATTCCCATTTCATTTTCAATTTTACATCTGTTTATAAAGATCTTGTGATTGTAAAGAACCCTTAATTTGTTTCCCCACTTTTAATAAATTTTTTTTTTATCAAATTAAATTTCTGTTGGAATAATTTTGCTAGCAAACAAGCCAAACAAATTATGTTACTCTTTGGCACTTATTAGCAATCTCAGCAGCCTGTACTACCTGGTGGTGATCACAACAGGATGTGAAATTAACTGTCTGTAGGAGTCTGAAGGGAAAAATCCCAGCTTGTGCCCACTTGGCTGGAGTGGAAGAAAAAAATCCTCTAAGTTTCAATTCTAGTCAGTAAATCTGTGGCTTTCAAGTTTTCTTATAAATGCTTAATCGTGTCCCCTTGAGTAACTATTTACATTCCCAGTACACTCAGCCTTGTTTAACAAGGCAGACTGAGGTGACGTAATGACTGCATCAATCCCTAAAAGCAGACACTACCTCACTAGAGAGAAGGCTGCCTAAGAGCTGAGCCACTGAGGTGCCACTGCTGTGATTTAAGCGCTTACTGCTTTCACTTCATGACATTACAAGCTTTTTTTAATAGCAGAAGCATCAGTGATAAGCTACTCGAAACAGCTGATCTGTTTTCTGCCTTTAAAAGGTTCATTAGCTTGTTTCATTAACAATAACAAACCAGGTGAAGCATAGTGAGCAGCACTGTTTGAGTTTTACTAACAGAATGCACTTATCCCTTTGATTTGTCTCATGTCACTATAGCATGAATATTATTTGTGATTACTTTGGCAACAACAAACGTTTTATAACAAAAGCCAGACAGCAGACATTTCTATTAAATTGGCTTTTTTTCCGCCATGACTGAAGAAAATGATTAGTCCATATTTATTACAACTATCTGGGCTGACCTAAGCTGAGTAAATGAAAGAGAAAATAAAAATCAAAACAAGTCATTTTAACAGAAAGCAAACAGATACCCAAACTTGTTTGTTGAAAGTATGAAAGAAGCATCTGATGGTGACCCCTCTGAAAATGAAAAGCTGGCAGTTGTAGTAAAAAGCACCACTTTAACGGAAAATCGATAAAGCACAAAGCAAAGCTGTGTGTTAGTGCTGAAGTGGTGTGGTGACTGAGAAGGAGAAGCTGCCTCGCCAACCTAAAGGGTCACCTTGATGAGAGAAGAAGGAAAAGTGACCCTGTGTGTTTGTGTGTTTCAGAGAGCTGGTTTTGTACAGTGGATAAATGGTTGTTCTAGTGTACCGACAGTCACTTTGTCTGGGTTACAGGGGCGCTCTTGGCAGCTTACGTCATTCTGTCTGTCTACCAGCGTGACTCTACAACACCACCTAAGGTTCCCAGCTGCCATGGAGATGTGAAAGCTTCAGTCTCCATCTGTGAACTGATCAGTTTACCTGTAGGTGGGGAGGAGATGGTGGCATATCTGACCTTGTCTGTGTGACTAATTCACCTTACAACATACTGGCATAGTAGCATCTTAAACCTCTTCCCTTGGGCTTTACACAGCTTTTTGACATTATAGAGTAGGTAAACACAGGTGTTACCAATCACATTAATGCAGAACCCTAATTAATATGATTAGTAACAACTGTGTTTACCTAATATTTCATGTTAGACCTAATGGCTCAACACAGCTCCATAACCATTTATTGAAAAAGTAAAATAAGCACTTACAAGACATTTTTGACACTTCTATAAATAAACTGAAAACTAAACAGTGTTAAAACAATGGATTTAGCCAGGCATCATTATGCAACAGTAGTTTGCGGCAGGTAATTTCAAATGCAGAGTTTCTGAGCTCAACAAACATCAGCAAACACACGAACTGTTTATGTGCAGTTTGTCTCATAGTGTGTTGCTTAGCTAAAGCTACAGCAGTTCGTCGGTTGCCTCGGAGCCTGCCTTCGCTCCCCATGTGCATTTGCCTTTGCTGCCCATGATCTGTGTCTGGTTTACCTCTGTTTCTTTCTTGGACCACTTTTGATAGACACTGACCACTGCCCATTTTTTCTGCATTCAACACAACCCTCTGAGGACAAAGGTTTTAGTTCAACTTGAATATATCCCACCCCCTAACAGGGACCACGATATAAATATATAATAACAATTAGGCTTCTTGGCACATGATGATTTGGTATTGCACTGCAGTATACAGTTCAGATTTCAAACAGACTACAAAATAACCAACGCACAATAGCACACCATAAAGTGAACACTGAGTGGTCAGTTCAAACACAATACATAGTACTTAGTGTGCACAAAAACACTCATGCTATTAAAATTATTGTGCTTGTTTGACTCTAAGCACACAATTTAACAATTTAACCCACAATTCTGACTGAAACTGACTTTTTTTCTCCTTTGTTCTTCCAGTTTATCTTTGATATACCATCTTTATACTTCACTGAGGATGTTTGAGGGTTTAAGAATCATCTGTTGGATGATAACATAAGTGTATAATGTTTTCTCCTATTCCAGAGTGATGCTGTCTTTCCAGATATTTGAATATGGATTCCTCCAGGAATCAGCAGAAAGACAAAATGATTATTATTGTGATAATAATCATTTTTTTCATATGTTTTTTTTACAAATGCATACAACTTTGCATTTACTGTGAAAGATTATATAAAACTGGGGGCAACAAGTTTTATATAATCTTGTTGCCCCCAGTTTGGTGGCTGAACATTTAGTTCAATGTTAATGAGCTCTAACTTTAAAGTTTTTAAAGAATGAACTGAAGAAGCCTCTTGGATGAAAGGTGAAATGTCTTCAAATAGCTTGAAGAGTCCAGTCACCTTCTGTCATTATTAAAAGCCTACACAGACTTAAAGATGCTGATTTAGTTTAGGGTTTTTGTTTTCAACAGTATGGTATATCTTAAAAGTCGGTGTAGAGAAATGATATTTCTCAGACAAATATTTGGCTTGTTACACATAGAAATGCAAATTCAGGGACAAGTGGACTGTGACTATTCCTTGAGTTACCAGATGTTCCAAACTGCAGGTTGTCTGCGTCTCCTGTAACAGCATGTGCCATTATGTGTTGATGCAGCATGGCTAAATCAACCAGCAAGACTTGTCCAAGTCTGTTTGGCACCAGCTCTGAGATGGCCTCCGCAATTAGGAGTCCACTGTCACTGCTTACGCTCTGTCACAAAACTTTCACGGTAATTTGTTCTCGACTTTCCAAATAATTAAAGCAACATCACTTTTGACATGTAATGCATTGTGTACACTCCTGTATGCCACTGCTATCTAACAGCATAAAGCAAGGCTTTCCCCTGCTGGCCTTTTATCGAGCCTTGGGATTGCTTTGCATTTCAAGGAGGTCCCACATCACTGCATTCATAAACAGAGACAGCAGTGAGCAGGAAGAAAAGCAATTTATTGGGAAATGTTTTCCACCCCTTGACTTGATAAAGTGGCTTAACATGTGTGCATGAAAAAAA